GCAGTGTCTGGCAAGGAGGGGAAGGGGCTGCCTGGAGGGAGGGAGGAAGGGATGCAGCAGCCCGGGCAGGCTGGGCACCTCCACTCAGCTCCACTTTGGGCACAGGCACCCGGCAGTAGCCTGGCTGAGCTGGCGAGGGACGGGGGGACACCCACCGTGGGGAGCCCCAAGCCCTGCAGGGCCCCCGGGACTGGGACAAGGCTGCTGCTCCACGGTTCCGGCTCACCCCACGGTGCTACTGGGGACGGGGAGGGCTCGGCTGGGTTGCAGCCCATGCAGACGCCTGACCGTGCCAGCGATTCCTTCTCTGGTCTCCAGAACGCTCGCCTCTCCCCCTGCAAGCACAATGCAGCCAGAAAGGGACAACCACAAACTCCGTCCCCATCATCCCCGTCATGGCTCTTGGAGCCTCCCGGCAGGTTGGGGCACCCCAAAGCAAGCTGGCACGGTGCTGCAAGGATGCACACCCAGAACAGAGCACAGCACAGAGCTGTTTTGGCGGTGCTGGGGAAACAGGGAGCACGGCAAGGAGGAGGAGGCAAGGAAGGCTCACTTTCCCAGCATGGCTCTGCCTGCGTTTCACAGCTCCTCCCTCCCAATCAGACCCGCTCAGACTCACATTGGACTTTTGCCATCCAAAAGCTGTGACTTTTCCCGAAACCCTTGAGTTGGGACAGCATGCCCCCGTGCCCCCGCACGAGTCCCCTCCGCTCACTCCCGGCCCAGGGACCGGCATTCATTTTCACCCAGGATGAGCCACACTCTGGCTCAGTACCTGCAGATAATCAAAGCCTTTCATTTCTTCAAATCCCATTAAGGTTTTGCAAAAAGAAGCCCCGAGTGGGGCTTAGCATCTGCAGGGCCCTGATAACCAGGCAGCAGGTGATGCCTCGCACCGGCCGACCCGAGGAAGAGCTGCCACGGGGTGCGGGGCTGACTTCTCCCTCTGGCTCCCTGGAGGGACTCAAATGGGGGATTTTGTCCAAAAAAAAAAAATAAACCCAAGCCTGAGCAGGCTGTGTAGGAACAGGGAGGGGAGGGGGACAGCTGGGACCCTGCCACTCTTTACATGATTTTCTGCCTGTGCTACAGCAGCAACGGGGAGCAGAGCCCCCGCACCAGGCTCTGGCCCCCAGAAACACCGTCGGACGGACCGACTGCCCGAGGAGGGGAGGAAAGCTCCCGCTGTCCCTGTTTCCAGAGGGGCTTAAGGCACGGGGAGATCAAAGGCTCATCTTCCTGGCTGCGGCGGATTTGTACTTCCCTGCGTGCTTCTTTTTTTAAGCCTTCTCCACCTCGGACCTTGTGCTGGATGAGCCCTTTCGCCTGCCAGGCAAGTCCCTGTCTGTCTGTCCTGCTGGGAAAGCAGGGACAAACAACGCATTAGGGATCGCCGCAGCTTTCCCCTCTGCCAGAGACATTCCTTGGAGGCCTCAGGTGAGGATGAGCTCCAAGCACAGGCACCAACTCTGTCCTCTCCGTCCCTGCCCAGAGCAGCCGGCCGGGCTGGGTTTCTTGAGCGATGGGATTTGGGGGGGCTCGGTGGTGGCATTTCCCAGCCAGCACAAGAACAGGAGCCCCCAGCAGCTCCCGAGGGGCTTCCCGCACCCCGCCAGACGCCTCCGGAAAGGTGCAGGTGGGAAGCACAATGCCCGTCTTTACTTTTCGTTCATTTATTTCAGTAGATTAGGGATTAGCTGGGTTTTCTAGCACTCGCCTTCAGGACAAGAAGGCACACAGAGCCACGTGCCCCGGGCGGGAAAGCTTGTCCCCTCCCCGGACCCCTCCGCAGGTGTTTTGCTGAGCTGGGGAGGGGACACAGTTTGTTGGTAGCACACCCTTGTGTAACTGCCCGTGTCACCCAGGACTCCCTAATGACTTTGTTTTGAATTGCACGAGAGGTATTTAATCCACGCTGAGACGCAGGATTTCCCAGGATTATTCCCAAGAGCGCACGCGTCGCTCCGCAGCCCCGGATTAGGCTAAACCCATCTGCGGTGACACCTCCCCGGAGAGGGGTGGGCAGGGGTGGCCGGGGGTCTGGGACCTGGCCACGTACCTCCCCGGCGAAGCCCTGGGCCGGCTCGTGGTGTGTAGCAGTGCCGTGAAGTCTAGGTCGTGTGTGAGTGGTGTCCAACGCTGTACATGTGGACTTTCTAAACTCCTTAATAAAAGGAACTCATCGTTAGTTGGCGTGTCGGTGGCCATGCCTACGGCGCGGCGCGGGGACGTCACCAGAGGAACCGGCGAAGGGAG